AACAAAATACAAAAAATTTTCATTATCTAGGTACATATTAAAGATTAAAGAAATACGTAGAGATTTTTTAAAATATTGATTTTTCTCAAAACGGCAGCTTTTTTACGAAAAATTTGTATTGACAAAAATACAAAATTTTGTAAAAATAGCTACCATTTTGAGAAAAATCAATATTTTGAAAAATCCCTACATAATTCTATATAGTCTTTAATATGTAGATAATAAAAATTCTTTGTGTTTTGTTCAAGGTCAAACCGTGTGCCTGTACACCGATTTAAAGAAACAAAAAAAGGGAATTTGCAATTCGACCAATGCGCCATCATTTTGTACATAAAAAAATAAAAAATATTTTTTTAGTTTCTTATATATGTACATACACAATGTCCTCTAAATAATTTTTAAATAAAGTTATTTATTTGCCTACAAAAAAATCTCAAACTGAGGTATCATTTTAAGGCTCAGGGGTGGTGTAACCCCTTAACAAATAAGAAGTTATAATGATATATAAGATGGTAATATTTTTAATGACTTACCACACGCGCGCACATTGTATGCGTGTATGTGTATGTGTGTGCGTATGTCGTGCGCGTGTGCGTGTTGTTTGTGATATGATATGTGTGCGCGTGTGCCTAAAATTGTAAAAAAACCATATCATTCATCAATTTTGCATGAATTAATGTGAGCACATTATTGATTGTGAACATTTGAACTCAAAAGCAATGTATATTTAAGATAGTTTTTGATATATTATCTTAATAATTATATAACTATACTTCTATTTTTTTTTAGTTTGTCATTATTAAAATATTTTGTAAAAAATTTTTATTTTATTAAAACAATTTAACAAAAATATTAAATTAATGTTTGTATACACATTATTACGTATTTATCTCATTAAAATGCACAAAAATTTCATAGTAAATAATGTAAATTTTATTACTTGTCTCTTAAAAAATATAATAAAAATATAATCATTTTAAAACTTTGAACATATTACTATTATAAATTTATGAGCTGTCCTAAAAATCAGGATGTATCAGATATAATGACATACTTTAATCAATTTTTAATTGTTTTTTCCTCATAATATTGAAGAAAATCTCTAGCCATCGTAATTTTCATAATTTAATTATTTTAGTATATCATATGTCTTTATGTTATTTCTATTATATCTTTATAATTGTAATTATAATTATTATAATATAATATCTTTATAATTGTTATTGTAATTATGACTCAAATTATAACTATATTAAAATAAACTTCTCTATTATAAAATTAACGAAAAAAGGAATTTAGGCAATCTAATTTGAAATATTTTTCATTTAAAAATTGTAGTCTTTATACTTTAATATTAAAACTTTTGTTTCCATGATGTATACTCAAGAAAGTTGAATGATTAAGATAAGATCAGATAACGAATTGAATTATATTTTTAATTTTTAAAATTATAGTTATTTATTTATTTATTAAAAACACACGTTTTGAGAAATAAGCAAATACATTAAAAATTATAAATTCTTTAAATTTTTAAAAATTTAAATTTATTTATTTAACTGTATCTTAGGTATATTATAGATATATATATAAATGCTACCATTATAAAGAAACTTTTTAATCTTTTTTAATCTTTTATTTTAATCTTTAATTTTATCTTCAAGATATATAAAAATCTTAAAAATTGATCTGCTCAAGATATCTAAAATAAATAAATTTAACAGTATTTTAGTTTTATAACATTGTGTAATCGGAATTTTATTATATTTAAAATTGATTTGGAACAAAATGGCAATTATTTTAATTCTATTTTTAAATGATTTTAATCAGTTTTATCATAAACTAGAAACAATTTAAACAATTAGGGAAAATGACATTTCAGAATAATATATTTGTGGATATATTGTTAACAATTTCATCAGTTTAATAGTTTTTGATAAATCTTTACAATCAGTTCGATAAATGTTTTGAAAAAGGTGTGTTTAAAGTTTAAATATATTTTTTAATAAAAAAATTGTTAATATTTTTAATATGCTATGTTACATATTTATTATAACTTTTATACGCAAAGCAGTTTTTTCCATTAAGTTTTTTTTATTTTGGATGAATTCATATGTCGCGTATATCACCTCTTGTGTATTTAGATTCTTAGAGGTGTTTTATTCAGTTTTTTGCAAAATTAAGTCAAAAACTTGATTGCATATTAATATTCTGTAATTTATAATAGAACTGGAATCTGTTACTAAATGTGTAAATAGCAATATATGCAGTGATTTCAATTATTTAAATATTACAAAACGAACTTTTTGGGCCAATTCACGTTTACAGCGCTATCAGTGCGCTTATAATCAATTCGATTTACGAGTGTTTTTTATGATCGAAGTCAGATTTTATACTTCACATAATCATAGTGATTCAGAGTTATTATTCTAGAGTAGTGTGAGCGTTTATGTCTTTTGCAAGGGAAAAATAGGTCCAATATATAAACTTATTAGAAATATATTTATAAGCGCTGTGAGCATGAATCGGACCGTAATCTAGATAGAATAATTTTTCGAAAATTTAACATAGAAATTTTTGCTGCTTTAAATGAAAATGATATTATTTTAAAAATTATATTAGATTGATATATTTTTGTAGCTGATTTTTAAGATATTTGAATACAGTTCTTTTTTATGTACCTACATATTAATTAATTTAAATTATTTTTATTTTAATTATGTAAATTATTTAATTTTCCTATTGATTTTATTTGTATTAATTATCTTGGTCTCTCAGATAGTAATCTTGCGGTAGATTTTTGTAATAAATGATCCATATTGTATTACTCCAATTAAATGTTTTCAATTAAATATTTATTTTTTGTACAGACATTTTATTTATAATTTATATCTGTTTAAGTGTTTATTAAATATGTTGTTAGCGTATTTTTACCCAATTTTTCTTTTTTTGATTAAGTATAATTATTTTTTTCGTTAATGTAATTTACATATTTCTTTTTTTTTTAATTATGACTTTATCATCGCGCAAGACTTTAAGTTTTCAAATATTTATCTTTGTGACTTGTCTTGGACTATTGAGAAGCATTCTCGAAGATATGTATTTTAACTTGGCTATAGCTTTGAATTTCAAACCTCTAAACTTTAGAAACTTTGGAAAATTTATATTTTATTAGTTGAATTTCAAGATAATAAAAAAAAATTAATTTTTTCTGTTATTTTAATGTTGTCTCCTTAATTCAATAACATTGGGATACCTCATATGTACACATATAATTATAATTTTAAATAATACGTACAATATATACATTTAAAAATATAACGTAACTTACGATACACTAAATGTACAACTAAAATTTTAGTATTGGACACCTACTTATTAATATTACAATGCACAATATGGATTATCCTTTTGTATATAGTATATATAATATAATACTTTCAGTGGTGTCTATGGCATGTTATGGAATGAGTAATAAACATTCGTGTTAAACGTATTGTAATCGCATGATTAGTGAGTAACATTTTGTTGAGGTTGATATTGCTTTAAGAAATTTTGTCATTCCCTTAATGTGGCTGATACAGAAAAACATTAAAAACAAACTCTATAAATACAACAATAGCGTATATAACAATTTTCCTGAATTAGTCTTAGCACATAGATATAATAATCATAAAATTTGATCACGAAGTGTTTTGCATAGAGTTATACAACGTTCACACTTCGGTTTTTACAATACACAAGTAGCTTGAATGGGGATTAATATAATACAATGAGTTGATTGAAAATTATTGTAAATGTTATTTTAGAGTTCGGAATTAAGTACGTGGCAACGACGAGTAGCGGAACTAGGTGGACGCGTCGCCGAGTTAGAGGAAACACTATCGAAAACGCAAAAAGATCTTTTGAAGGCACAAGAGGCAGGTCTGAAACTACAAAGAGATTTGCGAGAAAACGCAGCGCAAAAAGAGGACCAAGAGGAGCGAATAGCGACTCTAGAAAAACGATACCTCAATGCTCAACGGGAGTCCACTAGTCTTCATGACCTCAATGAGAAGCTGGAGCAGGAGTTGCAGCATAAAAAGGCTCAATTAAAGGTAAATTACACATTAATCTTTATTTTGTCTTTATTTATTTTACAATTATAACACAATCACTTTCTTACGAATAACTTAATTTACTGAAGCTTCAAGAGGAAAAAATTGCGGCTATACAAGAAAAACTAGAGCTCGCTGAACAGAAATTAGCTCAGTACGCTAAGTTACCAGAAATGGAAGAGCAATTGAAGCAAAGGATGGAGGCTCTGACGCAGGTGAGGAGGCCCAACCAGGTACGCAGGGGAATCATATCATGTCACATCATCAGCTCTTTCTTTTTTTATTCCTCTGCACTTTAACATTCCTAAAATACGATTTGTGTCTAGACAGCTTATCTTTCTTAACATGCATTATTGTCACAGAGTGCTCTTGTTATATTTCAGTTAATTTTATCAAACAATAATAATTTGCTGCTCTGTCTTGTACTACTGTATGTATGATACACAATAATAGCATTCAACATACAGATCGAGTATTTTAGTGCACCGCAGTGCGTCTTTGCAATATTTACGCTGAAATACACAAATTGCTAAATATACATATATATATATATACATATATACGAGCCAAATTTACAGATTAAATTTATTTGCTTCAGGAATTTCTAGTTACATGGTTTCTTTATATATTTTTGAAAATTGATTATGTCTTATCTTATATGATTTGCAAATTGATATAATGCAGCATGAATAGTGGAACCTGGTCAACTTGGTCTGTATCAAATCTATTCTGGAAATGATGGATATGTTTCAAACATCATAATTTATAGTTTATGAATAGTGTGCCACTTTTTGAATGTTTATTAATATAATATATTCTTTCTTTTTTTTTTGCTCATGGACATAACACGCTTTTATTTTCTTACTATTTCTGTCATAAAATATCTTATTTAGATTATACATATAGAAAAATTAGAATTGTGTGTGCGTGCGTGTGTGTATGTGTGTGCGTGTGCGTGCGTGCGTGCGTGCGTGCGTGCAAGTGTGTAGGAAAATGTATAAGTTATATTTATTATTTGCTTTGCCTTGAATTACATTTTAATATGATCATTCTCTATCCATTCTATTTCAATCGATTGTGAGAATTAACATTTATCATGAGACTTGACATTTATTATTACCATGAAGTTGAAATTATTTAATTTGTTAAAAGTGATAAGAGAGTTTCTTATAAATAATAAAGGCTTTTACATTAATTATATATAAATTAATTATATTATAAAAATTGTTAATATTATCAATAAATCAACTGATAATAAATAATTTTAATTATGTAAATTTAAGCAGGCTCAAGAGAGGCATGGTAGTGCGGAGGATAGAATTCAAAGACTGGAAGCACAATTAGAAGAAAAAAATGCAGAAGTGATGCGTGTTAATCAACGGCTAAAGATGAATGAGGAGCATAATACGCGTCTTAGTACAACTGTTGATAAACTTTTATCTGGTAATTTTGACTTAATATTTTTTCCTCTCAGATCCCCCTATAATTATTTGCAGGATTATTAACAAAAATTATTTAAGTATATATTAAAGGTAAACAAATAGATTTTGCTGTCTAAAAGAATAACTTAAATAATACATGTATACCGAGGGGGTAACCACTAAGAAAATAGATGTATGTACACCTGGACTTCGGACTTCACGGACTACGCAGGACTTCACGGACTACGCTGAATTCCGTTGGACTACGCCAAATTTCATCGGATTACACCGGACTTCATCGGACTTTATGGACTACGCAGGACTTCACGGACTACGCTAAATTCCGTTGGACTACGCCGGATTTCAATGGAATTCATCGGACTTTGTCGGACTTCATCGGAAATTTGAGGAATTCATCGGACTTCAAGGAACTCAACAGATGCCTGACGGGTTGTACACCGGAATTCAAGAGTGGTTACCCCCTCGATGTAGACTTAGAATTAGTTATTTATTTTTATCAGTAAATATATACCAAAAAGTAAAGTGACATTAAGTTAAGAGTTTAAATTTTTTGTTTAGAATCCAATGAAAGATTACAAGTACATTTAAAAGAAAGAATGCATGCGTTAGAAGAAAAGAATGCGCTTACTCAGGAACTCGAAAAAATGAGGAAAGTGGCAGAGGATCTGCAAAATGAAAAGGCTGACATCGTTAAAGAATTGGGCAAAGCGCGTCTAGAAATTGACAACGTTAAAAGACAAATGCTCCAACAGGAAATTGCATTTAATATTCAGCAAACAGATGCGTTAACAAGAAGTTTGTCACCAAACGCTGTGGATCCAGGCTCCTTTTCGAGGAGCGCAAGTCATAGCAGTTTCGACACACACTCATTGCCTAGAAGAGGAGGTAAACGATCTATGGAAGATGATTCATCGAAGGTATTGTATTGTTTATGTCAAAATATAAAAAGCACTACTTAATCGTATGTCTAAGAAAGGTAAACATGTATAATGTTAAATGTTTGGATACTTTAGAATTATGTTGCACGGACTTTGGCGGAGCAAGAGTGGGAAAAGTTGCAACAAGCGCATGTGCTTGCTAATGTCCAACAAGCGTTCGATGTTTCGAGTGACGCAGAAGATGGAGATAACGAAAGTATTTTTAGTTGCGCGGCAGACGTAATTAGTCCTACTGGTCATACAGATGCCCAAACATTGGCATTGATGCTGCAAGAACAATTGGATGCCATTAATAAAGAAATTAGATTAATTCAGGTAATTGATATACAATAATTTATGCATATAAATCTGTTTTATATGAATTCAGATATTTTAAGGCTTCTGCCTAGACAGCCACGAACTCTGTGTTAACGGTGGTAACACTATATCGCAGTAGAAATTAGAAACTTGTTTGTCGTACTATGCCCGTTCTATAACACGTCATATTAACAAGTCGTAATTCGTGATAATTCTACAAAATATGTTGTATGCCGATATCGTAAGCAGTAAAAATTGATCAATCACAGTCCAATGTTAAGAGAATACTCGACTTTAAGAGAATAACGAACCTACTGTGAAAAATGTTGATGACGCCGTTTCTTTATTATGTGCTTAATTGTGAAAATGTGATTTGTCTCGTACTTATCAAAATTGTAAAAATGGACGGAAATTAAAGTTATTATTGAATATATATAGAAGCATGTTTTTCACACTTTTCAACAGCAAATCGTAATCTGCTGTCAATCTTCTTGCTTAAATAGGTTTCACTTTACGTGCCTTTTATGACTATTTACTGATTATCAAGGGAGAAAAGGATAATTTCCATACATTTTTACAAATTTTTTTTAAGTGATCCCATTTTTTTTATTTTATCCAAATTCTCTTTATTTAAAAATGACTCGCCACAAACTTTTATGTGTCATTTTTCGCTTATGACGTCATGATACCAATATGACCGCGGTGACTAGGTAGGAGCCTTAATGTAAAAATTAATGAAATAGGTTATCATATACATCCAACAAATTACTTTATATATATACACTGCTCAAAAAAATTATGGCATAGAAAAATTTTGAGCAAAAATTGGTCAACTTTGGTAAACGGTAACTCCGCGAAAAATCATCGTAAAATGATGAAT